ATTATATTTTAATCTTCACTACTAAATAGTATTAATATTAGAATACTGATAAGCGTYTTGSTAAATATTTGTATAAATTMAWATASTAGGGCAATTTATGACTTATGATTATTGTGACTTGAAAAAAAAAATTAACTTTTTTTTAACTGAGTTAAGTTAATTTTATTTTCTATCTTAACTTTTTACTTATCTATTTAATTTTTTTTTTTAATAACTTTTAAGTTAACTGAAGGCAATTTTATTGAATTAACTTAACTTGCCAAAGTTAATTTTTTCCATTAACTTGCCCACCTTTGAATGTACCTACATCAGAGCACTACCAATTTGGTATCTAGTAGTTGTACCACTCTGCCGCGCTGGTGGGATTAAAAAGCTTAATAATTATCGAGTCATAACATTAATGTATTTTTGGCAATCAGTATCTATGGAGTATAAACAATATAACATATTTTAATCACACGAAATTGGCTAAAAAATATATTGCGAAAATTCCGAACTCTGTCGATAACGATATATACAGCTTGAGTAGAGGACTTTTCTTATCATAATATAGTATATAGTTTTAAGATTGAATTTTGTGCAAAAGTTCTCAAAAACATTAAAAAAAAAATGTCTTTTTAAAATTGTATTGCAATGATTCTAAATCATAAAAAAAAAAAATATTTAAAGATTAATATTGTTTTCGATTAAAATATTAAATCAATTTGTGTGTTTGCCTTTAAAAGAACGACTCTGTATAATAATGCAATATATTATTGTTGACCAGACACGTGTTATTACGGGCGCATACCGTATTATAGCTTTACCCAGGTTATACCTAAACTAAACTACCACCACCACCACCACTACCACTACCACTAATATAAACCATTAGCACTATACCACGACTACTAACTACTGCATACGTTCTACGTGTATAATATGCGTATCCTGGTATATACATATTATATTGTATAGGGACGTGATCCCTCGAGGCAAGTCGTAAATATCGCACACACAAGCCCCGCCGAACCCGTCGTGTCGGCCGAGATGAGTTCAGCTTTTAAAGTGAGTGTACACCTACGCTTGTGTTTTAATTTATTGATATTTTCGTATATTATGTTTAATTAACTCATGAAAGAGGAGGTGTTCCGGCGATCTCTATATGCGACGGACGTGTGTTATTGTTATTATCTTATGAACAATTAATAAGTATTGCGGCGTGTTTGATAATAGCCTACAATATTTTTGTAACATATAACATACGTGTGGGGATAATACCTTACCACGGTAGAAATCTTTTATTATGACGTTCGAGAGACCGAAGGAAAATATAGGCCATATAATAACCGACAATCATAATTTATTATTAAATTGTAACTAATCAACCATCACTAGTTTGAACTTCGATTTTTAAACATCGGAATTATCTGAGAAAATCAGTCTGGTTTTGGCTGTAATATAACAAAAAAAAACGTCGGGATGCAACGAAAATCTATATACGGAAAATTAACTACAAAAAAAAAGARAGTTTTTTAACTTAAGATCGATTACTATAACGTTATTTCTGATTATAGCGATCGTTTCGTCGATTTCCGTATGCAGTGCAGTTATATTATATATGTACCTTATATGTGCGCCATTTGTCACATATACAAATAAATGGGTGTTTCGCTCAAACCTGCATATCATGGTTTGGAGCCACTTTTTCAGTGTCGTGCTGCTGCGTCATGATTTATTAAATCTTCTCTGACTACACACACTCGCACACACGCACACTATTACTGTCACACACGCGCGGGACGTAAAAGTCTGATCGCAATATAGGTACAACGTTTCGTTTATCGCGGTGACCCGTAACACCATAATTGTGGTATATAGGTAGGTATACTATATATATATATATATACTCGGCGGCATTTATTGATGAGATCGGTAATATCGTTTGCCAACCGCGATACAAATTGAATTGTATCTCTCCGATACTGCACGCACGCCAAAGCGGTTCGATTCTATTAGCATCGTTTCCATGCTCTGCGGCGGGTGGGTGGGTGCGTGAGGGATATGGYGGGCAAAATCTCCGATACGAATTATGGTCAACGGCGGCCGACGCAGTAATTTGATTTTTCTCTCCGCTACACATAATATATATTTCCCTCACCGGAACTACTTAACTGCCGCCGTATCCTCGTGTGCCTCTGCTGCTGCTGCAGTCGTCTCGCCGCGGATGACGCACGATCCAATGACAATAAAATCGGAAAAGCTACACCAATTAACGTCCGA